CATTTTTTCCTCTAGTTGAAATAAATCCATTATTCAGCTAATCAAATATGATTAGCTTCGGTTTTCTGCTTCCTCTATTTGCCAAGTGAAGAGCTATGGGGTTAACTAAACTATCAGAAGTCCATTTATTTGCCTCTTTGAGCAAATAAAAATGACTCACCTAAAATATTGACATTTGTTTATTTTCTTCTATCATGACACAAGACACCAAATTAGCAATTCTTTTAAAGTCAAATTTAACTTGTTAACTTTGAAAAGGCTTCAGGACACTGATTTAGTGAGAGAACATAACATTCTTAGAACCCTAAAAATACATATAACCATTATAGTAAAGGGGGAAGGAAAGAAAATAGGGAGATATGTGGATTTACCATATTCACTGTTTTGTTTATATTTGCAAATACCTGCACACAATTCTATGAACTTAACAGGCAATATACTGTTACTCTTGATAAAAAGATAACAGGACATATTAATGCACATGGTTTTTCAATTGCTGTAATTTATACTAACCCCCAAAGAGAAGATTACACATTCTAGACAACAAAGAGAGATTTAAGCATCAGCTCTAAGTGTTGCCAGAAAAGGAATCACATTTCAAAATCTTCTCATAGGTTGAAACCTCAACATTTTTCTGGGATAAAGTTAAGTTGTACCTCACTGTATTTTCAATATTTATATTGAGTTCAGCACTGTTTTCATAATACATACATGCAGTTATGGAATCTGACATGCTGGTCCACTTTCCTCTATCTTTTCAGGTAGTTCATATTTAATATTTATACCTACACTAATCTAAGGTCAGCATAGGATTTTTTTACCATAAAAGGTAAATGTTGAAAATTCTATCAAATATCTGTGCAAAGACACAGGCAGTTCATTCTTGAAGTAATTTTATAAGAAGAACTTAGATTTAGTAGGCACTTATTACACGTTGGGCAATGTTCAGCATGCATTCCCTGGGATATCTTGTTTACACTTTGCAATGTCCTCATGATAATGATAATGCTATTATTATCCCCATTTCACACACAAAAGAGGAAACTTAGGCACAGAAAGATTAAGTAACTTTCCCATGGCTCTGAAGTTAAGAAGCTGCTGAGCTGTGATTTAAACCCAGAAGATCTGGCTAGAGAGCTAATAACAAGGCCTTCTTCCCTCTTATTGCCTACTATTGAAGCTCTTGTGTATTTTCCACAGGTCAAGTGATACAATACCCCTTGCCTGTGTTATACTATGTGGAACATGGTAAGAATTCAATAAATAGAAGCTCCCTTATGTTCCAAACAGGAAAATATTCAGTAAAGGTACTGTTTAAATATGGGTCCAATATTTTCTGATTTTACATATTCTATTTTTTTTCTTCCAACTTTCATCAATATCATTTTTCATATCATGACATTAGCATCCAAGTTTCTCCCATTCTTTCTGCTATTTTAGTTCTTAATAAGTACTGTTTCATCCTGTAAGTAATCTTTAATGTTCTTAACAATTATATAAGGTTACAAGAAACCAGGCTGAAACAGATCACTGGACATTCCTACCATTCTGTAAACACAGGCTGCCCTGTTAGTGACAGGGCACTTAATATCCAAGAATGTTTACAAGTACTTCAGCCTGTGGAGCCACTTAGTTAAGGAAACAGGTGGGTGATGTCATTCAGGGAGCACACAGCCTGCTTCTACCCATCTGGGATACTAAGTTTCTCAATTTTTCCACCACCTGTACTCACAAATGCCCCTTCTGCCAGGCATGAAGTAATGCAATAGTTCTAAAACTGGGGTAGGCATGATAATGAATTTATTTTTTCCTTATTTAAAAGAAAACAAAAATACCCTTTGCAGACTGTAAAAATCATATCAGCAAACAGAGAATCATAAAAGGAGCTTATAGTCAAATACTAATTGGAAAAAAAAAAAGAAACTGCTTTTGTGATTTAGGTTTCTAAATAAAAGCTTTGAGGAGCCAATTCAATCAATATGAAGAAGCAGGATCTGGGAGGTACCGCATGCAGGAAGCTCAGGATGTTATAGGACTCTTGGCATATGGATCTGATACAAAACCCAGGGCTATGCTGAGGTTGCTAAATTTTGAGCAAGGAGGAATCAATGACCCGAAGGGCTCAGGACCTATTAGAGCCATTATTTTTATGGAATAGATAAATATGCTGAACATCTGCAACCCCAATAGTGTGCAATTCAATATTCAGTATAAAAATGCAGATGCTATGAAACATAGCCATATATGTGTTGCATATCAGCCACACATGTCATATGAAAGTTAAAGAAGATTTTTTTCCCCTCCAACAGATGTGTTTATGCCTATGCATATAATATTGTACACAGAGGGGCTGAATGGATGAGTTTCCTCAGTGTTATATCTCCCTGGACTGTCATGAAGCAATGCTATAATAACATCCAAAGAGACACTTGGCCATTGCACATGCATCATCAAGGACGTACAGCTTCAGTGGCTGTTTTAAGAAAGGAGTGAAACTTGGAATTGAAGGGAACTGATACAGGAGCAATTCAAGATATCCTTGTCCTCCTAAGTCCTGATTTGGGCTGGCATGGCAAGTATAAACACAGTAGTTATAGCATCTAGAGGTCATTACTTTGAGGATGACTCAGACCAAAAGAGCGTAACACAGATTAAGAAAGAGTGTGGGTTATTTCACAATTATTAGCTATCAGTCAACTATTCTCCTAGGATTAAAAAAGAATACACAGGCAGTTGCCCATTATAAGGGAAATGACAAGGAAAGGAACACAGATTCCAAAGATTCCATTCAATGCCACATGCTTCTACCTAAAGCTGGTTTCAAGTAGACCATTCTTTTCAAATCAAATGAAGAATAAACACACCTATCTAGTTTAACAAGTGCAATTTGTCCTTGAAGGGGATAAAAAGCCACCCCCCCCTCAAAAAAAATGATTACTACATGACAGGACAGACAAATGTACTAAAAACTAGCCAAGAGACAAGTTTATCCCATTTTGGGAGGGAAAAAAATGGGGAGAATGTCACTCAAAGATTGGTTTGGAGGGGATCACAACTGCTTGGAAAGCAGAATCAGAGCCACCAAAGAAGTTCTAGAACTCTATATCAAGAGAGAATATCAGGTAATCACAGAACAGCTGCCTACCTAGTAGATAAGATCTGCAGGGCACAAAATGATTGTTTTCCCCCAAATCTCTCCTCCACAGAGCCACTGGCTTGTCTGCAATGTTGATGTTGTGGTCCTTCTGCTGTGAGTCCTTGATAAAATGTAAACTTGTCTCCTGAAAGGTATGCTACTTCCGGCCATTGTCCCTCCTTATTTCATGAGTCCATCTAAAAGGACCACAGAAACATCTGAAGGTAATGCATGAACAGACAGAAACACCACAAATGGGATAAGAAACTCCCAAATAACTCTATAATTTTACAGTGTGGGTTAGGTCTAAGATCTCTTTAAGTGAGCATGATGACCTTAATAGACAGAGTATTTACAGAAGCTGCCAAACTGGCTCCACATTTCATACTATGTTCAATAAACTGCTATACTGTATCTCCAAAATAGGGTAAAAGTAAGGAAAATTTCAATCTCCCCTCAAGAGGGCTAATGAGCAGTAATTAAGGTGAATCTGATCAGCAGTGTCTTATTTTAGAAGCATGCACACGAATGAATGGTCGGTCAGTGGCTAAACAATTACTCTCTGTTCAATTTCTGTTTTGCTCAAAACCCTGCTTAAGGTCTCTGCCAATAACCCAGGTCCTGAAATGCTATCAGTGATTCCAATGAGAACACTAAGCAAATCTGGTTTGTTTTCTTCCTGCAAGGAACAGAAAAATATTTGTTTATCTTCTTTAGCCACAATTTACCAAGTGCCATTGAATTGATTCTTCAGAAGTACTTCATAAAATGTATGCTGGAGGTATGCTCTAAGTGACTTAGGACCCAGATAAAGCAACAATTGGGAATTGCAGAGACAGGAAGAGAAACAAAACAAAACAAAACCTCAATGCTCATCCCTCACTCCCCCACCCCCCAGCCCTTTAAGCATCTACTTCACTTGATTACTTATAAACAAGTATTTGTTCCAGATGTCTCTTCTGTCCAAGGCAATGTCTAAAGCATTAGCCTTTCTTAGGTATATCTAAGGTAACTCTGTCATTCATGTTGTATTCTGACAAATAGAAGATTTGTTTCTAGAATGCTTTAATTGCTATTTCATTCTATATACAACCAGTAAATAACTGGATTGAAAAATTTAGGTAAACTGTTTTGCTTTCTGATACCTCTTGAGAAAGTCAATTAACCACGTTTGTCAAGATCGTCCTGTAAAACAGAAGTGCTGCGCCAAAGTTTGTAAAACTTACTTGGAGCTGACCTGATTCCTGGCACTGGGCTGAATTTTATCTGCTTCGCTAATCTTTAGGAATCCCTCCCAGCTGCTCTGAGTTTCCCTACAGTAGAAGTGAATCAAGGGGAACGTACGCACACACTGCGACTCTACATCGCTTCCTCTCTGCCCAAAACACTACACCGATGCTCAGTTGCCCACGCGGTCCCTTTCTCGACCACCCGGTGGCCAGGCACTCGCAGAGACGACCAGGCTCTCCGTTCCCGCGGCCGGTTCCCACTTTTCTCGCTAGAGGGCAGACCCGGCCCACGCAAAGCCGTTCGGCGCCAGGGCACGCGCGCACCCAGCCTCCGCTCCCGCACGCCGGTCCCACTCCAGGGTTGGGCTCAGCGGCTGAGGAGCTGGTGGAAGGTTGTGCCAGGGAGCACAGCACATCCACAAAGTCCGGGAGGGTACAAGCCGGGACTGTCGCCCCCCGTGCTAAGCGCAGGGCGTGGGTGTCCAGGTGAAGGGCAACCCCTAGGAGCGAAAGCACCAGCCAACTCAGTGGACACCACGGGGGCATAGCCAGGAGCACAGTGCTCAGGCGGACGCGAGAGGGAGAGGCCACAGCACCAAAAGAGAAGGATGACTGGGCTGGGGCTGAGCACTCACCTGGGCTCCGGTCGCCCTCCGCGGGCGCGGGTTTCTTGCTAGAGCCCCGGTCCTTCTTCTTGCCCTTCCCCTTGCCTCTGCCTTCTTTGCGCTCGGACATCTCTCCGGTGAAGTGAGCGCTGTACGCGTACTGCTGCTGGCGAAGGCGACGCGCGACAAGTTTGGTCCAAGGGTTTGAATCGGTTAGGGGAAAGTTTGTCCCTCAAGGGGAAAGCGAACGACCGGGCTTCGGCGCTCGCGCTGCGCAGGGGGGTCTCCTGTTGCCTGCGGGGAGAAGCGCGGACGCGGCGTGCGGTCTAAAGCCACCTGGAACTGACGGTCTCTCCGTCTAGTAGTCGCCCTCGCTCTTGGGACTGCACCGGTGGCCCTGGGTCCCGCGGCTGGCGACTCCCGTCGTGGCCTCTATCCGCGACCTCGCAGCCAGAACAGGGAGAGCGTTCACCGTCCCGCCCGCATTCCCATCGCCCGCCGCTCCTCTCCTGCCCTTGTGCTAGCCGGGAGTTCCGACAAGTTTTGGGGAACTCCTCGCCGGCTCTTTTTCAATTGCCCCACAGCTACCCACCTCCCGCCCCGCAGGTTGGAGGCTGGCGCCTCCTTTTCACCCTCCCCTTGCCTCGCCCCCTCCCTCTTCCCCACCACACCCCCACCCCGAGGCGCGGACACGCCACCGGGAGGAGCCTGGGCTCGGCGCTCCCGGGCGCAGTCCCTTTCCTCCGAGCCGGGCCAGGCGGGGCGGGAGGGGGAGGGGGCGGCGCGCAGAGCGGCTGCCGGGAACCCCCGACAGGGGTCGCTGGAAGCTGCACGGATCTGCGACCGCCACCGCGGCTACTGGAGCCAAGCCGAAGGGCCCGGGACGTTCAAAGATGGGACCTGGGACTCTCGTTCCTCGCTTTCCTCCGCGGACAGGCAGTGGCCTCCGAGCTGGTCCGATCGCTTTAAAGTGAAGAAAGATGTTGGAGGAAAAAGTTTGCAACTCTGACACCTGTTCCCTAAATGAAGGTTCTGCAGCCCTTGTAAGGGCTGAAAACGTTTGGTATTTTTCCAGAAAAGTTCAGAGTTTATTCCTTTTTTCATATTAATGAAGCTTCCCTCTTGCGTAGGGCAAAGGTAAACTCTTTGAGGAAGGGAGTTTAAGGTAAGACCGGAAGGGCTCCAGGAACCACAAGGACGACCTGTCTGCACTTCGTATCTGCAACTTGAGAACGTTCTGCCTTCGTGTACTTAAAAATGGGTGTGTTAAAATTTTCATCTTCACTTTTTCCTCAAATACAAAACAAACAGGAAAAAATCTGGCTTTTTCTAAAAGGGGTGTCATAAGCTGTAATGCTTACTACAATTTAATTTTTTAAAAATTTGATAAGCTACGACTCAAAGCACAATCGACAATAATTTAAATGACTACAATAGCCGGGAGTGAGTTCGTTCCGCTGTGTATGAGAGCAAGAAGGGAGCGGTAGAAGGAATAGATAGATTAGGGGATCCTTAATTCATCAGTGCTAGTTTTCTCAGGTTCAAACTTTTCTCAGAACTGCACGTGAAACCTACTAGTTCCCTTGTCCTCCCTCTGGTGGAGAATTCTGAAGAGCTTAAAACCCAGAAAGCATTGGCACTCCCCTGAAAAGGGCAATACCTAAAGACCATAGTAATCCTCACTGGGGGAATGATCCAGAACAAGTCTCCACGTAAATATTGAACGCTACACCACCGCTGTGACTAAGACTGTCTTAGACTGTTCATTGACAGTGACCTACTCTGGCGCTGTGATGAAAAGGAAGTGGGAAACATGAACAATCCGTGCTCAACATCTACTATTCCACTTTCAAAGGGGCTTGCTCCTGTTTTTCCTTCTCTGGGATTAATGCTAACTGAACCATTGCCTACCTACAGCCTTCTCTGGATTCTCTAATTGCCACCTTATAAGTAGAGGTGAAATACCGGTGCCTCCTTGATATGTAGGTGGGAAGGGAGAGAGGCAAAAAGTTCATTTTAAAATTGTCTTAAAATAAGAGTAATTTTATTCTACTCTACTTTGCATTAGAATAAGAACCAAACTCTGTTGGGGTGAGCTTAATTATTAAAAAGATCATAGCAATATTGCCATGGTTCTTTACTTTTAAAACATTTGATATCCTCTGACAGCTTTCCAACAAACACCAAATACAAATTTCACTTTGCCACAAAAACAGCAGAACCAAAGAATACATTATGGATATGCGTCAATGGTACTGTAATATTCCACAGAGTCCAATGTAAGGTGGACTCTGAATATTGGGTGAAATAACTCTGCTTTCCCAGGAGGGGCCACTGCTCAGCAAGAAGGGACAACAAAATTCAGAACATAGAAGTCCTTTCAAAGATACTTTATCTCAAGGATGTGACACAGTTTAAGGGTTTGGTGTACACCAGCGACATGTTATCAAACATATTATTTTGGAATTTAAGGACTTAAATGTATTTTGAAACTAAAAGCAAATAAACTTAAGATTTTCCCACATAAAATAGAAAGCTAGTAGTAAAACCCATCTCTATGAAAATAATATAATTCAGTGATTTGGGGAGGAGGGGTCTAGATATTTTACTTCCAAAGAGCTTATTAATTCTCATTTAATAGTAATTTTTACATGAGCATAATGGAAAAGTGTATAATTTTGTGATAATTTTCTATCTGAATGAACCTAAAGATAATTGACAATCTTCCAAACCTAAGCAGAAATGATCGTGCAAAAGAAAACTGATATTTCAGTACCTTTAAAATAAAATACGGCACCCACCAGTATTCCTATAGAAATTTTAGGACTGGGGTATGAATGAATATGAATAAAGGAAAGTGTATATAAATTAATGTTCAATAGTTATTTTTCATTGGTTTGATGTGGCAGAAAGAGGGGTGGAAAGGCAAATATTACAATCTTAATTGTTGAAGGAACTGTAAAGAAGACAGTAATCTGGCAGTTGAATGACAGGGCTGCTTCCTAGAACTATGCCCAGATTCTGAAGTCTATTTTGGTGGTCAATTGCAGCTGAATTGCCAGGAAATTCACAGAAAAGTCCAATTTTTTTTTCTACTATTACATTGTTTAAATATGTCTTTATTCTAAAGAATACTTATTTCATGTTAAGTTCTCAGGAATTGATTTTATTACATATTTACAACCAGCAAAAGGATAACCAAATTAAAGTCAATTTATTTGATAGCTAAAATATTTGTGAGATTTACCTAGAGTTTAAAATTGTCCTTAAATTATCCATCTTTGTGGTCAGTAAGTGGCAAATGAATTTATTTGGCATTTTCACAAAGCCTTGGAACTGATAGGACAGAGGGACAGAGAAAGGAAGAAGAATTTTTTTGCTTTTAAAAAATGTAAAATATGAACCACGATTGTATAATGTAGAAATAACAACATATCTTCATGGTTTAATTTTATTAATTTGTTGGGTATTGTTCAGCTCTTAGAACTTGTATCATATAAGACATATCAGCTCTTGACTAACATGTCAACCTGTCAACATATGTCATCTGAAAAAAAAGAAGCAAATTATAAATAAGCACCTTGAGAAGAAAGGCAAAATGTAGATCTTATATAAATGACAGCTTAAAAGAAGTGCAATCATGTACCATTACATTTCTTTGGCTTGGCTTCACTTTTAGAAGTACTCTTACAATCTATAAAGCTGGTTGAATATACTCTTTCGGTAATTCCCTTTTGGGACTACTCCAACAAAAATTTTAAAACAGAAAAAAAATCATACAAAAGAAGATTATTAAGTGAACATAGAGTGCATTCTTGAAAAATATTATGCATATTTACAGTAATGAGAATTTAACTTAGAATTCTGCAAATAGTTAACAACTTTTTTAAATGAAGTAACTTTTTAAATAACTTTGTGACAAAGTTGATATTAATGAAGATGCATGAAGGCAAAGAAAATCTCACCAGAGTCAACACCAACTGAAACAACCACCAAATGAATATGATTCATTTGTTTAACAAGCATTTATGGAATGAAAAGGCGGACAGTGCCGAAACAGAAATAAAATATTACTCCTTTTATCATGAAGCTAAAAATTATGAGAAAGACATAAAAACAAACTAAGTATTACAATATGTTATAAAAAGCAGAACTGTGTAGGTTTTCTGGAGCTCATAAAATTTGAGGGACCTTTTAAAAGGCAATGAGTACAACATTAGAAATACAAATTTAGGCTCCCTAGCCTAATCAGTCCAATGCCACACTCTTAGCACATGAACAGTCTTGGTTTCAAACCGTAGCAACAAATTATACAAATTCAGGTACAAGAAAATGCTAGAGCCCTTATAAATGAGAGGCCTTGGAGTTTCATTAGCTTCAAGATGAATTCACCTCTACAAATTTCAAGCATATTCTATCATCTGCAAGAACTGTAATGTAGTAAGGCTACAGGATGATTATACACTATCTTAAAGATTAGCTAATGCTATCTTAGAGATTAGCTAGTACTATCTTAGAGATTAGCTAGTACTATCACTGCCAGTAGGAGACATTAACAAACAATCACAAGGAATAGACATGAAACTGAATGGAGCACTGGTGGAGTGGTGCACACTTGTAATCCTAGGGACTCAGGAGGCAGGAGGCAAGAGGTAGCAGGATTGCAAGTTCAAGGCCAGCATCTGCAACTTAGGGAGACCCCATCTTAAAAGGGGCTGGGAATGTAGCTCAGTGGTAGAGCACCCCTGGGCTCCCAGTACCACACCCTGCAAAAAGGAAAAACTGAATTGACTATCCTGTAAGGGAGGAAAAAATAAATGAAAAGAGCCTTAGTAATTCACAGATTAGTACTTGTTCTGTATGTTTAGACTCTGAGAATCAACCTGCAAGTTAAATGTGTTAAGCAAAGTGTTTCTGACCAGCTAAATGCCCTGGCAAAACTAGTAATGGTATGATCTATTACTTTTAGCAAACAACAAAAATTACTAATTAACTCTACTTTGTCTGCTGTGGAGAGAGACAATTTCATAACAGAATGGTGAGTTTAGAATCCAAATACCAAACAATATTTAAAAGAAATCTATGTTTATGCTTTTCTGCTTGTGTGATTTTAATGTTTATTATATACCAATGATTTCTGTTATCTTTGTCATTATTAATGAGAAGATTACTCATGATTGAACTTCATGATTGATATCGTAAATTAAAATATAGATAATACAGTCAATTACTAATTCTTAATTTCAGTTTTATTTCTTTTTTGGGGGAGCACTATTTGGCAAATTGATTCATATCATAAATCTCTTTTGTAATAAGATAGATATTTAGGCCAATAGGTTTTGAAAATATCTTAATTTCTTATAATACCTTCCCACTCACCTTTTCAGTTATTCTTCCTGACCACACTGGTTATTTATTTTTTATCTCCCTTGATAGCCTTGCAGAACAACCTTATTTCAGATATATATTTGAAGGAAAAATCTCAAATTTATATATACATAAAATACATAGATATATTCCCCTATGTATATGTTTGTATGTTTGTATGTATGTGTATGTGTGTGTGTGTGTGTGTGTGTAGAGGGTTATGTA